CCCTCGTTTGCCTCTCTTTCTTCTCTCTGCACGTTCTGCTCCTCCTTCGGTCCTCCTGTCTCTGCCTTCTCCACAGCCATGAACGCCCAGCCCTCCATAATCCTTCCTTCGTATTGCTCTTCTATCAGTTCTAGCTCACGCCTTCTCCTTCTCACCTCCCACTCCTCCTGGTGCCTCTCACTCAGCTCTATCCCCCTTTGGATCTCTTTCGTCTTCAGGTGCATGCGGAATATTTCTATCGTCCAGGTCATCACGTTCAGATCCATCGCCCTCCCTAGCGCTGCCCTCTGCTGCTTCTCCGTCACTTGTGGGTGCGCCGTGGCATCCCATAGGTGCCCCATGGTCGCCTCTCTCTCCCTTGCGGTTGGCTCCTCCCATCTACCCTTGCGGTCGGCTCCTCCCATCTACCCACTTTTCCAGCTGCTCATCTGTAATATCTTTTACATCATCCACCGTCGCCTCATCTTCTGCTGGGATGGCGGTGCTTAGCAGCTGTTGGGGGTATCCTTCTAGCAGCTTCAGGGCGTGATGCCTGGCCATGCGCCTCACCACTGGGTCTTTCTCCACATGGACCCATTTCCTCACAAAGCATCCTGCTTTCAAAGCCGCTGCTAGCACAGTGCTGATTCCTCCGTACAGCTCCAGCACGCACGGAGCACTTTCCAGAGCCCACACCCTGGTTACTCTGTCCTTCATATATGCTGCTTCCTGTGACTTTTCCATCCTTTCCATTCGCCTTTCGTTCTCTTCTGAACACCACTCCCACGTCCAGTCATCCAATTCCACGGTTAGATCTGCCTTCTCTGCACTGTATGCATCTCTTGGCTCTTGCCTCACAAACTTCACTGGCAGAGTCCCAACCGAGTCTCCGGGTCCCAATACTGCACCCTATACAGCACTTTCTCCTGCCAAGTGCAGATGGTGGCTCCCACTCGGTACAGCAGCTCCATTCCCACCAAGACAGTGTAGTCCTCTGACTTTGACACACCGCAGTTCACTCTAATGCAGCACTCTTTCTCCGTACCAGGTTGCAGCACTATCTCTACCGGCCGCTGGGTCCATGGCATCCACTTGGGCTCTCCTCCTTCTGCCGTCATTAGTAGTATTCCTCTCTCGATCAAGAGACCGGGCATATCTAGCTTCAGCTTCTTTGCTAAACCTTTACCTATTAGCACGTGGTGACCTCCGATGTCTATGATAGCCTGTCCTACTGGCAGCCCCCCCACCGTGAGAATTCCCCTCTCCGCTATGAGCACACAGGCCTGGCACACCAGCCTCTCGTTCGGGTTTCTCCTCAAGGTAGTCTCCGGCATTCTTTCCCTTGCGCTTGGCCTGCGCAGCCGCTCGTTCTCCACTCTGTTGCTCCCGGATGGTGTTGGCCTGGGTCTCAGGTTCAGGTCATCTTTCTCTCTGGGGAACGCCATCAGTGAGAACTCTCTGCTGAACTCCTGAGCTCCCTGGTCTTCTTCGCTGATCTCCTCCACCGCCATCATCGCCCTGCTCCGAGGCGCTGTCTGCAGCATTTGGTCCATCTACAACTGCAGCTTCCGCATTTCAGCATGCAGGTCTTCTCGGCTCAGCGTTCCCTCTCTCCTCGGTCTGCTGTAACACTCCTCTTTCCGATGTCCCCTTTTTCTGCAGGTCCCGCATGTCGGTGCTTTGGGGCAGTCCCTCTTGATGTGCCCGCCTTCTCCATATCCGTGGCAGAGCCTGGTTTCACTTCCGCCCATCATAGTCCTTGGCTCCGAATCCTTTAGGTCCAACATTTGCTGTGCATGTTCCGTCCTTTTCGCCAAGCCGTAGACCTCTTTCAGTGTCACGTGAGCTCCGATCCCATACACGGTATTGCGTACTATCATGCGTAGATCCTCCTCCAACCCTCTTAGGAATTTCGCACCAGCAGTCGCTCGTCTCTGCTCTCCAAATCCTCCGCCAAACTCCTTGAGCCGGCTGTAACACGCCAGCAGCGATTCATTTTTTTTCCCTCGAAACGTGCGAAACTCCTCCACGCGCGCTTTGATCTGCCCCACGAATTCATTTCTTAGCATCTGCAGGAAGCGCTGCGTCGGATTCTCTATCTCTCCGTACTCCAGCTCTTCCAACACTTTGTCTCGTACTATCCGGTAGTAGGTCTCGGCTTCTGCTGCTATTTTTCGAAAGAACTCCTGTGGAACAAACCCATGTCTCTCCCAGCAGTAGTGTACAGTTTCTAACAGCATCACATAATTCTTCATGGTTGGACCTACGCCCGGGATGCCGGTGAATCGCTCGGTGACTTCCACTTTAGGTAAGCTGGTAGGGTTACAGCGGCACCTTCTCGGCGACTCCTGACCCTCCACGTTTCTTGGTTCCGCCGCTGTCCTGCTCGCCACCATTTCTTGTTGTCGCGGCGATTGCAATTTCTGATCTTCATCCCTTCTCCTTTTTTCTCTTTCCCTGTCCGGGGAGCGGTGGGTCATCCCCGGCATTTCAAGCGGCGTCCTTTCCTCTTTCCGCGTTTCCCATTGCGTTTCTGCTTCCGCCGCCCATCTCAGTGCATGCGGTGTTTCTCCAGGGCCGGATGCGGCTGCTCTGTGACTTTCTACCGGTCTCTCCGGTCCTCTCGTCCTTTGTTGCGGCGTGCGATAGGTTGGCGATGCCGCGTGTCGCGATACTCCTTCGCTTCTCCCAAGATTTCCCACCATGCTCTCAGTTGCTTGCGCTCTCCAGCTTGGCATCGTGTCTACTTCCTCTCTGCGCTCTCTTCCGTAGTTTAGGCATGATCTAAGATGGTAGACGTCAGACATTCTCTATCGAGCTACTTGTTTGTTTTATTAGAAACATACAGGCTGGTCTCTAGGCATAGCAGCTTGGATACGCTGAGAAGATTGCCTTGCAAGCTCCTTATCTCGCGGCTGACTCTCTATACTCTGCTTGTTTGGAGTGGCTTTTCCCGAGGTTGGCACTAGATCATTTGCCAGGCACAAATCCTTGCTAAGTGTGAAAACAAACAAGCAAGCTACCTGCACAACAAACCTACACCCCTAAGTATCTCAGATTGGTAACCGTTGCTTACAACGGTTTATTCGCCTTTCATGCTTTTGTTTTGGTTCCCGCAGATGCACGTCCCGCGTGTATGATCTCGTTATTACTGTTTCGCTACTCCTATACCTTGTCATGCTAATATGTTTCCTACTATATTCTACTTATGTATGATCTTCAAACTAAAAGCGTGACAACTTGCTTTGAATGGATGTCATTGCCTCGAAATGTGTTTGCTGTATCTGAACAAACTCTCCTTGGCGATTGTTGAAGGTGAACGGGCGCTCGGAATAAGGTCCACGAGGATCCGGGGGTCTTCTGGCGTACCTGGAGCCGTCAACGCTCATCGACTGGTGATGGCTCTCCAGGGCGTTGATGCGCGTGATTAGTTGCTTGATGAGAGCAGGATCAACAGATGTCACTCTTGAGGTGACATTGGAGGGTTGATGGACCGAATTGTTTCCAGTTTCCCCGCATTTAGCGCCTGGCATGTTGTATGCTTGTCGCCAGATACTCTTTTAGAGCCTGCATGATTCAATGAACCGGAATTTCTCCAGTTCCCCCGCAGTCAGCGCCTTGCATGGTGTATGCTTGTATCGCCAGATAATTATAAGGAATTTCAGTTGCATAACTTGATTTTTAGCAGAACTTATAATCCAAATTAGCTCTCATACCATGTTAGAATAAAAAATGGATCTTTGGACAGGATAAGTCTGCTAGAGAAAAAACAGCGGAAGTCTTTATAGGTTGACCTTGATCATAGTGAATGTAAATGACAAGATGATAACAATAAAATTTACATTACAATATATAGTCATAGCTAGCCATGTACTCTGAGGGGTACATTTCCTTTATTAACGGTAGTACAGGTATCGCGATAGTAGCAGTGACTATTGCGATCCCTTCTGCTACCTTGTTGCATCTCGTAATCTCCAAACAGTTGTGATAGTTGAAGCAGCTTGCAACCTCTTGGTCCAGGTTGGTCAACAGTCACGACAATTGACCCTCGACTGTTGACCTACGTGCTCTATATGAGCTAACGCGGTAGTGGTACGGGTGTTGCTTCGCTAGTGGCAGGAATTAAAGGGTATTTTGAAATGCTAAAATACCTTTTGGTTATTCCAACACTCGTCACAGGGTCGTTGCTAGGATTTCAGCCGGTATGAGCATTTGACGAAATATTTCTAGGTGTTTGATTTTTTAGACAAAACTATCTAACAAGTCTGAAATTTCAGACGAAAAGGTAAAAGTGCGTGGCCATCTCCGTACTGACTAGGCAAGATACCAAGCTAATTCTGGGCAAGTGAGGATTTCCAGTCAGGTGTTCGCATCGCAGTTAAACAGAACTGTCCGAAGCATAGCATAGTGTCTAAAAAAACAGACGAGATAAAATACGATGTCTGAAAATCAGAAGAAATTATATTGCTCATCATAATACTCAGATGAAAAAAAAAAAAAAAAAAAAAAAAAAAAAAAACAACAACAACAACAACATGTTTTAAAATCAGACTATTAGGTGGATCTCGTCTGGTAAAAACGACCATATCTGGTCAGCCGTGTTTGTGGCCCTTAATCGCAACTATTTCTCACCAATTTTGCTAATTCCCAGGTTGAGAAGCAATGTTGACCAAAAGTCTGACCAGAGCCCGAAATGTACCCTAGGACTTCCGCTGTCTTAACTCTGTGGCTCCTTATCATATCCAATCGATTCCTTAGTTATATCAACAGTGATATTACATTGAATCTGTTGTCCAACTATATTTGTGGTTTTAGATATGTCGTAGTGGGGTGCATCTTAGGGGGTACACCAAACTTCTCGACACTCATCTTGAACCCCCCATTCCCTCTCTAGCCCCACCATATTCTCTCTATATACCTAAGACTCTAAGATGGTATCAGTAGTAGGTTAGTTCCTAGCCTAAAAACACGCCACGTCCTGCCCGTAACTCACCTCGCCCCGTCAATAACGCCCCCCGTCCTTAGTGTGCCCCGTAACGTGTCCGAAACGCGCCCCGCCCCAGGCAAATGCACGCGCAACAGCACCTGCACGCACGCGCGCGTGCATAGGCAGCTGCTCGTACAGCAGCCGCCACCGCGCGCTGCCCCCTCTCGTCCCGTCCCGCACCCTGCCCTGCCGCGCGCGCGTGCAGCCGCACGCACGTAGCCGCGCACGCGCATACGCGCGCAGCAGCAGCAGACGCACGCGCAACATCAGCAGCGCGCACTACAGCAGCCGCGCGCATAGCAGTAGCTGCGCCCACAGCAACAGCCACGCGCACAGGCTCTCGCACAGCAGCTGCCACGCGCCTAGGTACAGCCACACGTGTGCTTAGCAGCTGCTGCGCGCTTAGCTGCTGCCCCCCGTGCTAGCGGCCGAGCGCGTGCAGCAACAGCAGCTGCACACACCTTCGCTACGCACTGCTGCCCATGCTCCTTGACAGGCCACCCCGTTCCCCACAGCACTAGACCGTTCTTAACCGCTCCCGACCTCGCTCCACCGCATTGAACCCCCCCCTGACCGCTACCCATCGTGCTAGACCGCCCTCCACCGCACCCTTACGGACCCGGCCACACCTTTACCGCTCCCCACCGCACTAGTCCGCACCCTACCGTACCTGACCGCTCCCCACCGCGCTACACCGCACTCAACCGCACTCGACCGCAACCGACCGCACTAGACCGTACTCCACCCCACCTATACCTGCTGTCTACCACAAACCTCCTACCATATGCGTTCCTAACAGTGGCTAGCAGCCGTAGTCGACTCTCGCGTAGTTTAGGGTTCGTGCCTCGTTCGGCCTAACGCTCCTAGCCTAGTTCCTCTCATATACCCAGCCTGGCATGTCTCGTTTAGTTCGCTCCTGCCTCCGGTCGCTCCTAGTGTCTAGTATGGCATCCTCACGAGTTTTACGTTTCGACCCGAGGGTCGCCCGATCGTGTTTAGCACGTGGCTTACCCATGCCCAACGCCACCTTAAGAGGGAGCGTCAGGATGGCGCCCACCTCTATGATCACGCGTCTGGCGCTCTTCAAGCCCCTCCGCGCCCTAGACCTCGTTGTTCTCCACCTAAGTCCGTTCTCCCGTCACCTCCTGATTCGTCCCTTACAGCCTCGTCTCACCCTATCACTGACTAATACCGCACGGCTCGCCCTGTTGTGTCCCGTATTCTCGCCTCTCTTGTCACGGACCCTACTGCCTCTCCGTCATCTGTTTTGGCTCTTGTTGCCTCTGTCTCTGACTTTGCTACCACCCGCCGCCTTGACTATGCCACCAGCGTGGTGGCTGCCCATCCTCTGTCCGCCGGGGATGAGTTTGCCCCTGGCTGTGACGTCCTAGAGGACAGGCAGTTTGAGCTGGAGTTCTTGGCAGCCGCCTCTCCCCAGCTCTGTGCCATGCTTCAAGCCCCTGAGGGAGACCCCGACGCCCTTGAAATACCGACTCCTCGCACGTACTGTGAGGCAGTCAGGGCAGTGGGCCTCTCAGTGGATAGCGGCCATGGACTCAGAGATGTCGTCTTGGAGATCCACAGGCACTTATGTCGACGCGGTTCCACGTCCCGGGGCGAACGTAGTCGATGGCATGTGGATCTTCTAGGTGAAGCGGCCGACATGTTCGCCGCCTGTCTTCAAGGCGCGCAATGTGGCTAGAGGCTACAGTCAGCGTGAGGGAGTTGACTTCTTCCAGACCTTTGCTCCGACCCTGTAGATGACTACTCTTCGGGTGTTACTTCACGTTGCAACACAGTGAGACTACGAGCTGCACTCACTGGACTTCTCCACTGCCTTTCTCCAGGGCCGCCTGCACGAGGAGATCTGGCTGCGCCGTCCTCCTGGCTTCACTGGCACTTTTCCCGCCTGAGACCAAGTGGAGCCTGAGACGACCAGTCTACGGTCTCCGCTAGGCGCCTCGTGAATGGCACGACACGCTTCGCTCTACACTCGCTGACCTCGGGTTCCGTCCTTCGTCCGCCGACCTCCACTAATTTCTTCGTCCTCGTCTACGTCGACGACTTGGTCTTCGCTACAGCAGACAGAGTTGCTCTAGCTTTCGCGAATTCCGAACAGCAGAAGAGACGCACGTACATTGACCTTGGTGAATTGGGCCGCTACCTTGGCTTGCATATCACCAGGGACAGAGCCGCTCGCACCGTCACACTCAGTTAGTCACACATGGTGCAGCATGTCCTTCAGCGGTTCGGGCTTCAGTTCTCCACCACACAACCCATTCCTCTTGCCGTAGACCATGGACTCACCTCTCCTCTTCCCGACAAGACCTTCGAGTCTAGTGGTCCTTACGCAGAGCTTATGGGCTGCCTCATGTACCTGATGACCTGTACTCGCACGGACCTTGCTTTTCCTCTCAGCATCCTAGCTCGCTTTGTTGCGAGTGTGAGGCACCGTCCTGTTCACTGGACGGCAGTTGTGAGGGTAGCGAAGTACCTGGCGACTACATCATGCATAGGGTTTGTGCTGGGACGGACACAGCCAATTGTACTGACCGGTCACTACGACTCTTCCTACGTCGAGGGCGTCGAGACCCAGAGGTCTACTCAGGGGTATTGTTTCAACTTGGGCTCTGGTTCTGTGTCGTGGAGGTCTGCTCAGTCGTCGTTTGTGGCACAGTCTAGCGCTGAGGCCATGATCTTTGCCGGTGCCATGGCTGCGCAGGAGCTTCGCTGGTTGACCTTCTTGCTCACCGACCTTGGTGAGCGGCCGAGCTTTGCACCGACCTTGTTCGCTGACAACAAGGTCATGATCCTCCTGTGTCGAGAGCCTCGACTGGAGAGCAGAGTGAAGCACATCGACGTGAGGTACTTTCTTATGCGAGAGCTGCAGCAACGCGGCCAGGCACGTTTGGACTGTGTGGCCTCAGCCGCCAACATTGCAGACATCTTCCCCAAGGCCCTTCCGCCTAGTGACCACCACAGGTTCTGTCTGCAATTAGGCCTCGTTGAGGCAGGCCCTCCGTTGTTGTTGTCGTACCACTTGTTTCTTGCTGTTCTTGTCTTGTACCTATATAAACATATATGTAAAATCTTGAACTGGCCTTGTTTTGTTTTTGAATATGTCCACTATACACCAGTGATACAAGTGTATATAAACATATGTCAGTCGTAACTGAGCATGAGAGGCCGAAAGACAGTAACGGCCCCAGGGGCAGCTTCTAGGGCCGATGCAGAGCCCCCCTTGCCAGATTCCAAAGCGCGCCAAAGTTATGGGTCCACTTCCAACCCTTTACCGCCAGGCACGGAATACGTCCAAGTAATTGGTCCTCATGCTCAGCCAGCGAATAGGCCTTCCCATGTCGCTTCAAACCACTTCCCTTGTCCAGCTTTTTCCTAAATGCTCGAGTGTACACCTTCACATGCAGCCGAAAGGCCGCCTCAATACGCGTGAGGACGCGCCGAGCCCGGAACCTCCTACCCCGGAACATGCACTCGCATCTCTCTGCCCAGATCTGGTGCACCGCGATGGCAGCAAGTGATGCTTCCGAAAATGCTGAGGTGGACGCTGCCTTCCCGAACAGCAAACCACCCAGGTCAGCCACTTGCCTCGACGGGTTCAGCATGCGCATGGCACGCCTGACTGCCACCACCACAAGTTGAATGCGCGGGCAGGTGAAAATACAATGCTCCAAAGTTTCAAACTCCCCCCAGTGCGGACAAACTGGCTTGCCGCTTAGGAAAGAATGCCTTTCCCCCACCTGTAAGTAAAGACTGTGGATCCTCAGCAGCACGTCGCGCGGTCTATTCGGCGTCACTAGAGAGTCCCGAATTTTGATCACACTCTTCCAGTCAATTGACCCCGCCCATCTGCTCGCCCAAATTTCCCTCTTGGCTGACTGATGTTTCTGCTGTTGCCAGCACCCCTTCAACTCCCTCAGCGACGCCAACTGCCCGCTGCTAAACAACGGGGTTCTCTGGTGAGGGGAGCGCAGGGGCGGACGAGGCAGCTGCAGTAGCTCGGCAGACAGGAGCAGCGATTTCCAGCACTGCGGCACAGCCTCCCATGCCCGTAGTGCCGATTTTGCTTGTTTGGTTTCGCCCAGCTCCCTCGCTAGGGTTTTTTTCTTCCTTAACCCTTCGACCTCCCGAGCCGTCCGGAACCAGCAAGTCCCCCAAACGAACCTCCCACTGATTCGACGCAACCTTCTGCCCGCCCACCGGAGTCTTGCCCTTCTCCCGTGACACGAACCGCTCCTTCTCAGCCTCCTCCCGTGACAGTTTTGGCAGTGTAACGGCGAGCGGCGACTGCATGAAACTCCCGCAAGCCAGCTTCTACCTCTCGCTTTTCCCGCGCCAATATTTCAAAAGTTTCACGCAAGCAAGTCCGCCGCTTTGAGCATGATGAACTGGCCTTGTGGTCTCTTGCTTGTGCTCAGACCGTGTGGTGACTTCGTGATCCACCCTGATATTTGTCAAACTATATTTGTAGTTTTAGATATGCTGTAGTGGTGTGCATCTTAGGGGGCACACCAAACTTCTCGACACTCATCTTGTACCCCCCATTCCCTCTCTGGTCCCACCATTTCTCTCTACATACCAAAGACCAGGGCTGACGTTTTTTCCCTCTCTAGTCCCACCATCTGATTGCTTGAAATTTCAGACTATTTTTTTTACATTCCTGATTTTTCAGAGTTGGCTGATTTTAAAAAATGAGTGCTTCAGACTGATGTTTTTTTTCATATTAAAATTTTCAGAGTACTTGCTTACCGGATAATGAGTTGTCGGGCTACAGAGAGTACGAACTCTGAATGATATTCATTTCTTTCTACGAAACTTCCCGTACGTCATATGTTGCTGCCATACAATGGCGGTGTTCGCCGGCACATGTGAAATCGATTGAATTTCGACGGCATCGGGATGGCTGTGGAATCAGGAACCGGGGGCGGAACCCGCCGAATAGCTTTGGGCGGAATGGCCACCTCGCGAAATTTCGCGCCAGAAATGGGAAACATGACAACGGGATCAGGAACCACCCTCCCACTTTCAACCCTCCCCTCCTGCCAACCAACCCTATCGCCATCCCAAGGCAATTCCCCGTGGGGACGAAAGGTTGCATGGGGAAGAATCTGCTCCCCACTTTCCTAACACTGTGATTCCGTCTGAAATGGTTGGAAATGGTGGGCGTTCGCTAAGCCAAATGATACCGTTTGGTTCAGACGGAATACTAGGCTCGACAGATTTTTTTTCGGGCTGACCCGTCTGACGGACGCTAACGAACGCTAACGGACGGGATCACTGACTGACCTTCCTGATCCCGTCCATTTCGCTGTTAAAAGCGCAGGCGAACACCGCCAATGATTACCGTATAGTGCTCCCCCCTGCTGCCACCTGCCAAATCTACAGTTGGAAGCTGTACCACCTGAATTTTGCAGCTTTGTCAGCAGCAATCTTCTTCGCTGAGCTGCATTTGGGTTGCCTTCGAGGCGAACCCGCCCCTCAGGGCTTGTGCAGAAGACCCGTTAGTAGTAAACCCTACTGTTGAACTGAGAAATGCCTTAGGATCTTTTAGAGTTTAGTCTTTGTA